GAACTGCAGTAGGCAAATTGATTGGGATCAGGTGCATTCAGCTGGGGCATCTTTAGTAGTAAAATCTTTTCCATGACTTTCAAACCCACAGATTGGTTGGCTGCTGATGACACTTGTACGGCCAGTACCGGCAGAGAACACATGCATTTGTTTTCGTACTTATATTACGGTGCTTCCAGTTTGTGTCTATTTAAACAATTTACTTCGGTGCGTATTACGTGTTCTATTGAATAAATCAATGTCAATTCAAATAAGTACATTGTAGTGGGAGAATACAATATAGAATACATGCAATATACCTATGGCTATCGGTATGCCAGTATGATATTGGAAACTGAACTATAGTTCCGCATTGGGAATCATGACACATGAAAACAATCAATACCTATCTGGTTCCAATAGATTGAAATTGTTTTATCATCGCTTTATTATCGATTATTATCGGTTACCGGAATTTGGGCCGCATACCAATTGTTGAATTTAATTTGAACTGATCATCCCTCAGATTTCAGAATTATCAACTCTCCCGGTCAACGCTACATTCGGAAGCAATATAGTTCCGAGTTTATGGTTAACTAGACGAACGGAAGATTGTCTGCATGAAGGGGAAGTCAAACCAATATCAAACCACTAGTCACAAGCAATTGCGAGTTAAATGTGAATTGTTGAATTCTTTCACATTTAATTTCAAATGTTCTTTGTTCCCACAGAACACGGCAATCAACTCCAAACGCTTCTTGATCAACAGACCAACAGTAGATGAACAAATCGCGATAACTTTTAGATTACCCAGATTAGATTAGCCCATTCGATTATTCAGGGGCACCAGGCACTCTTGATTAAGGTTCACGGTTCGAGTCCTGACATAAACACAAAAACTATGCACTGCTGACGAGTTCCAAACAGGACGAAGCAGCTGTCCAGTACTCTTTGTCGGTTATCACAAACATTTCAATTGCAATAAAATCATGATAAAATCCAAAAATTAAAGGGGCTATATGCGTTTGGGGACCCATTTAGAAAGCTATTACATCTATCTAATCAGCATGGAATTCATAACTTATTGTCCTGTGCGGTTTTGATAATCACATGATCGATTGGGTTCATTCATCGATCGATCGGTCGGGTGGTTTAGCTGCAACAAGGAACGTGTCGCTTGCCCAGCCAACACAGTTGTTCACCTCTGGTTTTCACAATGTATAGCGAACACATTTATTCATTTCAAAACACTGCACTGAAATAAAATAACATTGGGTATCCAGTGAATGGACGATAACTATTCGCGAAATGTTCTAAACAGTCATAATTTGTTCTCATGTTAGTATGGCGACGATTGATTTGAAAACCTGTCAATTTTGTCTATCGCTTTGTAGATGGAATTGGCTGAGATGACTATGGACGATAGCATTTCATCGGAAAAATTTGCTTCCGGGACTAGTCACTATGGAGAAATCCTTGACGGACGACTGGAGGCAGACACTGTGGACTCACTGCTTCGACAGTTCGGCTTCGGTGAGGCGGTAGATGTTTGCAATCCGGAGAATACTGGTCAAACGGAGGCGATATCCACACGATCCTCTGAGAATGGTGAAGCTCAAGAAAATATCGATCAGATTATTTATACAGGTCAGAATAGTTGATGAGTTTACGAGGTCGAAAGACAAGAAGAAGGAGCAACGTTACAGGTCCCAGAGTAAACAAGTCAAACTATCTGGTTGTATACAAGTGCTGAGCTTATTGTATCTCGCGCAACTGAAAAAACGGCAACGTTTTAATGGCTGCAACCTTTTCTATAAGACTTAGCGTAATCAGTATTACACCTTATAGTAATTGATGGATTATTTTGATAGGAATATCAAAAGACAACCTACAGCGAAAAACTTGTTTTCGTAACTCCGTCTTCAGGCATTTACAATTGTCTTTATATACAATGTAATAATAAATGAGTATTGTATTGTATCGTATTGAGGCCTTACCGAGTTATATACAAGCTTTCAATCAAAAAATAGACCAACGTTCCAATTCCGCTTTGAAAGTAGATGAAAAGACAGACGTAAAAGGATATGAGTTACTTAATAAGTGCACTAGAAAGCTCGGAACGAACACTTTCCTTGTCGGTCAGTATACGGGCGAGATAAGGTTACATGGGAAATCACACTAATGTCTGTCAAGTTCAGTCAGAGTAATTCTGGTCACTTCTGGAAATTTCCGCTGATCTTTGTCATCTGCAATTTGCCAAGCCAGTTCTGTCCCAGGAGACAGCAGTCGTAGTATAGAAATATATATATGTATATCTCACATACGTCTGAATACAGACTGTGTGCAAAACAAATCATGGTACAATAATCTTTATGAAAAAGAAAAGCATTCCATGATTTGCATATGAGCGGAATACTGACAGGTTGCCCAGGTCAAGGCAGGTGAATTCTCTTGAGGAATCCACAACCGGATCCTTTGGCTAGCCAAAGCCTGACCCGCGAATCAGCGGGTCGGTGTGTGAAAACCGCAATCTATTGGGGGCCGTTGTCCAGTTCATCGGATCATGCGCCCGTTGGACAGGGTCAAACCTTCAAGGTGCCAGTACACCTCGATGCTCAATCGATCTGGCGACCAAAGCCACCACAACCGGGAAGGTGTGGGTGTGATTCATACCCCTCCTCATGGTTGGTTTGCAATCAGGGTTTTGGTTAACTCTCCTAGGTGGTCCATCAACCTGGTTAAAGCCCCGAGTATGGGCATTTTGTCCTCTCAATTTGGTGTCTCTCATGGCAACTGGACACATCGTTGACCCACAAATGTCGTTCAAGCCGTTATTACGTAACTTGAACCCTAGGATTTTGGCGTTTAGAGAGGCGATGCTAATCAAGTTACGTAACCCAATCTTGTGCGCACAAAAGTTTCTTACACAATCATTCAGACTGCCATGGACTTGATTTCCCACCGCACACTCTCCCTCGCCTCCCTGACTATTGTCCGTTTTACCACTGCAGTTATCAAAACTTGCTTGTATAAATACCAGATTGTTTTACGTTGTAGCGACTGAAGAGATCAAAAGAAATGTTAACATCTCGCAGTATTTGTATTCTTTCGTTTCTAACGAATTGAATGAAGGGGACCTAATGTTTCCAACGACAATTATCCCACACCACTACTCACAAGTACTTGTGATTTACATGCGAAGAACCTCAGTTGTTTATAAGAAGCATGTTTATTTCCCCTTCCGGTTCCGCACTGCCCGGGGATTAACACTGTCCCTGTTCCACGTTTCAGAAAACATGGGTGATCATTTGGCACGAAAACACGAATATGTGGCACACCTTACGCGCGCACGGGATCGCACATGGTACGATTTGTATGTGCTACTTGAGGCGAGGGAACGACAGATTTTATTCTATAGAAACAAGTCGGACTATGATGCACTTCGGTGAGTAGGCTTGATTTTGATTTCTATTGATAAAAAGTGTATACTGGAATAGACCTGATCCAGTGCCGCACTGTGTTAGCCAGATTGTCAGGAAATGCTACGGAAGCCCCTTGTATCAGTCCCATTCGACACAGAACAGGGTAGAACAGAATTAAACAAAATATCTATTTGTAGTTCTTCTGCAAATAGACATGGAATGCTGAAAAAGATCTCGTTCGATCGAGCTCTACCTCACTGGCGGACGTTGATTCTTTACGCCCCCTGACAACATTATGCAATTTTGAATTACCTACTCATAAGTAGTATACATGAAAGTTCCTCAAAAT